GGCCAGAGAATGGCCAATAAAATCCGACCCTTGCACCAACTCGGTTGGTATCCAATAGCTGAATGGCCGGTCACGGGGATCAAACATTTCTGGGTTCAGGAGGACTCGAGGTGGAGTCAAAACCCTCAATTCTCCGTGGATGCCCTCCAAAATTTGACCCTTTTATCCTCATATAATGCCTAAAATTTCGCGCTCCTGCGTGCTTCGAGTGGTTGATCTTAGGTCTTGTTTGATAACTGGTGCTATTCCACTCACTATTGGCAATATGAATAGCTTAGCTGAACTGTATTTATCTAATAACAATCTTACTGGGATAGTTCCATTGAGTTTAGGTCAGTTGTCGAGCCTTTCCGTGCTTGATCTTTTGTGTAATTTGCTTACTGGCTTAATTCTCGAGTCTTTTTCCTCACTGGGGAACCTTACTTTACTTGATATATCTTTGAATTTCTCGTATGGGGCTGTTCCTCTGGGTATTGGGACTTTGTTTAGGCTGCAGTTCTTGAATCTTTCATGGAACAGTTTTTCTTCTTCAATAACTGCCCAATTTGGTGATCTTTCTAGCCTTGTTGACCTTGATCGCGAATTTAATTCGCTATCTGGCTCAGTGTCCCCATATTTAGAGGGTTGAAAAGCTTGCAAAGAATGGTTACTTGGAATAATTTCCTGTCAGGATCGTTGCCAGATAATTTGTTCCCTCTTCTGACTAGGTCTCTCATCACAATTGCAATAGGAAATGCAGGGACGACCATGAATGAGCATATAAACTTGAAGGCCTCTACTGCTCCATGGACATGAGGTTTGTGAAGATGGAGTAGCTTAATAAGTAGTAAAAATCCATTTCTAGATGGCTGGTTATGGAGTATGTTTAGATTACCAAACTCGTGGACACTAGATCTTGTTATGAATTGAAACTTAATCCATAATTCCGTGAGCAATAATAAGCAAATAGAAGTCAGAAAAATGCTTCTAGATGGCCGATTATGGAGTATCTTTAGATTACAAAACTCTTGGACATTATATCTTGTTATAAATTGAACCTTATTCCCTAAAACCTTGAGCAATTATAGCAAGCAGAACTCAGAAAAATACGAAGGAAAACACATATAATTGTGATTCACCCTCAATGTGAAAGCTACGTCCACTTGCCTTTCAGGTCTTCACTAAAAATTAAGTAGTTCACAATATAGTGTTTTACATCACTCAATCTGTGCATCCCTGTGTTATAATGTCTCTTGCTATTTTCTTTTATATAATTGTTGTATTAAATTAGCCTAAAACAAAATCTGAATGCCAAATATACCCTTGTAATAAAAAGTTGATGGCTGAGTGGATAAGTGAACACTATAGTTAGGCTCCATGTTGTCCAATGTGTCTCCGTTATAAAATTGTTTATGATGCTTTGGATGACATTAATGAATTTTTACCAGATTTTCTCTTATGGCCTTTTATCTGCAAAGTGATCCTCAGAATGTCAATATTTATTTGTTATTGTTCTCAAAAGGATGTCCAAGCCAGCAGCATTTTTCCTTGACGATAAATATGAAGTACGGTTTGGAGCTTGAGTGAGGTTTGCCTTCAAGAAGGAGACACTCATCAAAATAGGATCACAAAGTTGCTGCAGCTGCCTTAGTGAGTATTATCATTCATATCACACATACTGACCTTTTTTATGGATGTACTTGTTCTAGCTTTTCAAATGCTAGCTTTAAAAAGATTACAACAAGTCACTATACCCGAGTGTGACAAGGGAAATAAATATTCAATTGCAACTTCAACTCTATTTATGCTGGTATACAGTTGTTAAGGCAGTTTAGTTACTAATAAGAATGATGACGTTCACGTTTATAAAGTTCATCTGTGTCGAGTCTCGGGGCCTCCCATTAGTGTAAGCTAAATTCAGATTTATAGAGATTAAATACTGTCTTTGGGCTTTGTGTTTCATGTTAAGTTATTGTTGTAAAGTTCATTCCAATTGCTTGGTTGAGGTTAAGTTCATTCCAATTGCTTGGTTGAGGTTGTGACAAATTTATTCGTTGTATGCAGGACATCAGTCATCAGACCAAGGCACTTCAGGTGTTTGCAGTTTCTTTAATTATAGTTCTGTTTCCATCATTGTCACTTCTTGTCTGCATATTCTCCTACGTAAATGATGCCAGCTAGGTGCTTCTTTAGTGTTGGTTCTCATCACGCAGTTGATGGCAATGCATAAGGGTCTCAAATGAACTAACATCTGTGGGCAGTTTGGTATATACTGTGGGACAAAACGCCATTGAATACTTTTCCATACCAAGCCATTGCTAAAACCTAGATTGCAATTAATTTTTAAACAATAACGTTTCATTTCGTGCACATTTCAGAAACGAAAACACTTTAGAAACTCTTAAGAAATGTTTTGGAGACTCAAAAAAGGTTTTCCTCATTTTTTGTTTTTTAATTCGGAAACTCAAAGAAAACCTTTAATCAATATATTTGGAATTGGAAACTTCAATTTCAACCAAGAATTAACGTAGTTGCGGGTTTAACCTTTACACTTAAAACCATTAAGAAGTGATTAGAGTTTGACCGACTTGTATTAATGGTTCTTCCACCCTAATTACCTTTGCAAATAGAAGTTATATCTGGAGAGACTTTTGCTATATGCTTGATAGATGGAGAATTTCTTTCCTAGTTAAGCAAGTAGTCATTGACTCAAGTGCTTGTATATGTGCAAATATGAATTGACGATCCCTTGATTCTTGATGGTTGGTAATTAACTAACTAGAGAATCTCTTACTTATAAACATCCTTTAAATGACTATACTTTGTATTTTGTAACAGTCCCTTTTCTTAATGTTTTAAATTTTCCAACTCACATGTGATTACTACCTAGCTTCTTGCTCTCAAGCTTTTAAAGATTTAAGCTCATCATTCTTAGAGCATTTTTGGCTAAGCTTAATATTTAAATTAAGTTTTAAAATAATTTTTTTATTGGTCAAAGTTGATTACATTTGACATGTAGTAAGAGTTACTTTCGAAATAAGTGACATTTTTCACTCACAAGTTAGAAAATGTAAGTTATCCAAACCCTTTTTAAGCTTTTCTACATGTTATTTTCTGAGCTTCACTCATCAGAACTTTTTTGGAAATTCCCTTAATATTAAGAAAAAGAATGCTTTGATTGGGTGCAGTTTATCATAAAGGAAGGCACTAAGTGGAAGTTTAGTGAGCAGGAGTGTTGGAACACTTCGATCTAGCCCTTCATTAATGTTCAAATATACCCTTTGTGCTTAGACTTAAAATCACAATCTTTCTAGTTAAGGGTGATCACATGGGATAATTCAAACTATGCACGTTTTATATGGAGTTGCTAATGTGTGTCAAACCTTGGAGTGATTTGTTCAAATCAAATGAACTTTTCTTTCTTAATAAAACATTCAACTTAAGTACCACTATTAATTATCACTACAAATTATAATGTTTCAAACGAACATTATCCTAGGTCGAACGACACTATATGATTGTTGATATTTGGAGCCGATGACTTACTTCTGGAATAGAAAAATAAATATAAGCGTGCACACAACTTCTGGCCATTTGACATTAAAAGTTCTTGGGGGGTATTATAAGAAGGAAATAAATATATGATGCATAATTTTGTTCGTTTATTTATTATGATTTTCTAGATTGGCTAAAGATCATATAGCTGAAAGTTCTTTGGCTCTGGTCACAAATTGGAGCTTGTACATCATATTTATTTATTTTTTCATATTTTAAAATGCCCAAGTGTGCCTTTTCAACATGTGCTTATGATGTTTATTGTTTCGGAAAGGTATTACTTAAGCTTGTTACGGGCAAGCTGGGTATCAATTCTCCAACTGATGCCGCCATAAAGGAGTGGTTGGAAGCATCTCTTCCTTACATCAGTATATACGACGAAGAAATTGTCACAAGCATTGTCGACCCGTCATTAATTATAGATGAGGATCTTCTCGAGGAAGTGTTGGCAATGGCAATCATTGCTAGGTCTTGCCTTAATCCCAAGTCTATGAGGTGGCCCTAATGAGAAACATTCTTAAACCTTTGGAAAATTCTTTGAAAGTGGTACGTAAGAAAACTCGGGTTTTGCCCGGCTTAGAACGACGTCCTCCTGAGCATCGTGGAATGCCACTTTATTTGGCAACCGGCGGCACAGCTCTTCAAATGTGGTGCCCATGCCGATCGCTCCTTCTAATAAAGTCGAAGGAATGAGTAGTTTTTAACAGTGAGAATAATGGGTTCCAGGGAAGTGGTCAAAATGATGGTGGGAACAATTATTCGTACTCAGTCAAACGATATTCCAAGGAGATTTTCCCTGAACCTATGGATGCACGGGATGTAAAGAAAGCTCGCGAGGAGTGAATGGAAGGTAGATTTCTCAATTCTTTGTCAATAACAGAGCAGTTTCCGAATTGTGATTTTCTTGTTTGTAGTTTCTGTGCACCTTGTCCTCCATTTTGGAGTTCTTCCGTTGTAAGTTAGTTTTGTTCTTAAAAGTTGCATATTACTTGGTTTTAGCTATAGCTGTACTTCTGCTGGTATTTTTTGAAGTCTTGTTTTTGGTTAAAATAGGCTACAAATTTTATTTTATTTTTCTGTGATTGATCTTTATAAATTGTTATATTGTGAAATGTAAATTATGATATTGACTATGCTTCTTTGAGGTGGAAGAAGAAAAGAACAAGCAAGACTACACATTGTTTTCTCAATTTAAATTGATATTTTTGTTAGAATGAAAATGGGATTCCTCTGGTCTCTGTTTTTGCACCCGCGCAATGTTTATGGATTTGATGAGTTGAAATAGGTATCGGTACGTTGGATCGAAATTGAGGATCGCAAGAATGCCTGGCCACGTACTAAAGAAGAAAAAGTGTTTGGAATAAAACATATGCAAACGGCAAATAGTTAAGTATAGATCGCGTGCTTACAAATATCATTAATCAATTTAGTAGGAAAATGTAGCAGTTTCCTTGCTTCTACTTGGATTTGGAAAATGTGGCAATTACCTTACTTCTACATTGACTCTGATAGGTAAGCAGTGCTTAGAAATAACATCTCATTTTTAAGTATCACACACACACACTACTCTTGGAAATGGCAAGACAGCCTACGTGATTCTTCGTTCGGAAAAAAGGAAATTCCTCATATAATGTAGAATTTTACGTCTAAAATGTTCCCAGGAGTGTTTGAAATGTTTGGCAGCCACGTAATACAACAAATGATCTTTACTCAAGGAGATGGGGATTGAAGGATAAGAAGTGAAACGTGAACTCGATCATCCTCAATCGACATAATCTTTTTGTTTTCTTCAGCAGAGTGTTGGCTTCACTTAACAAATGTAGTTTCTTGGATTACTCTTAAATAATGGTTGGTTTGGCCTCTTCCAGCAACTCCTTAACAACAAAAATCATGTACAAGTCATATCTGATTTAAACAACACATCATCATCAGTTGTGAATCGGAGCTTGTAACAAAATATATACAAAGCGGGCCATGTAGGTGGTCCACCCACAAGCTCATAGCAACGGACATAATTAACAATTTCTTGACCCGGTAAATGATTGAGCTATGAGTATCTGAACTTGGAGCCCCAAACTTGTATTGGAAATGGACAACCAGATGGAAATCTGCAGAATAATAACGTCATCCCATCAAAATTATACATGTCATGTCTATAGAAAAATTAAATTTACCTGCACCCCAAAAGATGTATTTAAGATACGAATAAATTAATATTTAGCTCTAACATTTTTTAACTTCAATGATTTCACAAAAGGAATGCGATTTAATGATTTAACAATATATGAGCTACTAGCTGTAACACATTAAATATTTATCAAACTAATTCCTGGCGTGTGCAACGCACGTGGTGTATTGTAATAGAGTATTTCATTGATGGACTTACCAAATTCTTATTGTAGTTTGCCTTTGTTGCTCATGGGTCTACAAACACTCAACCTCCTCTTCCTCCACCGATTCCCTCTAAATAATTGCATACAGAAACGGAAAACCAAGACATGCGTTTCCTCTCTTTTTCTTGCCAGAGTTAATGGAAGGGAAGAGATGCTTGTTCCCTCACTATAAAGAAGAAACAAACTCCTTAGCAACACTCACAACAAAAAAAAGAGGAGGAAAGTCTTATTATCAATAATTAATTTCAATTGATTTCAATAGAATTAACATGAAGCCCAATTTCTGCACGATAATTCTTCATGAAATCCTAATTTCACCAATCCGATTAACCCAATTTGAATTCAAACAGTTTACAAAATTTGAAGCCAGAAACGCAAATTAATGATGGAAATTTGTTTGTTTGTTAGTTATCACCTTGAATCCAGAATCCAATTTTCCGTGGTAGTCCTTACTCATCATCTTCCTCCTACATTAATTAAAACAAAATAATAAGTCAACACGGTCACCAAGTTTCAAGTGAAAAAGGTTGTATAGCTTAATCTCAACTAACATCTCCACTGCTCTTATTGTCCTCATCATCATTAACCTCAGACTTTGACTTGCCATACTCATCATTAGCACCTCCAATCTATAAAAATAGTTCAATATAAGTTGTTTCAATATCATAGTCTAAACTAAACAATGTGTAAGGCTATGCTTTTCATAGATGGATTGTCAATTTCTTTTTATAGTATGCCATTTTTGCCCATATTCCTCCTTTAGTTTCTCTGTTTTTTGCACCAAGGGAGCTTTTTCGTTATTTTCATAACATTAGGAAATTTCTAGAGAAGAAGAATAAAACATAAATAATATCTTAGATTGCATATATTTACATCATCACTCATGGACTTTCACTTATCTCCACCAGCTTTTCCAGCCTATATTATTATTTATTCCCAAAAGGAAAACTAGAAATCGTAAAGAAAATTATCATGCACACGCTCCTAGTGCAAATATTTGGCTTGAATATTAAACTTCGAAGAAAATTTAAAAAGAATGATGAACTTAACAACAACAATTGATTCAGATATTTTTTCTTGGATTGTTTCGTGAACACTTCCCTAAAAGCAGAAATAGCATTGAACAGATTAATGGTCTAATCAACCTTTTGCCAGAGAAAGCACTTGAAGGCCTCTTTGGCTTGTTTGGATCCTTCACTTTCTTTTTCTTCTTGGCCTTCCTTGCAGCAAGCCTAATATTACCAATGCAAAATTAATCACAGATAACAAGAGTATCAAGCAAAATGTGAAAAAAGGGGGTGAGGCAAAACTTACGGCAGCTCGGAGAAAATCAGTGTCGCATCTCAACTCTATCAATTTTAGCAATCAGTTAAGAGTAACATTTAACACCATCAATAACCATCTGATCATATGAACGTTGCAACAATAAACATTATGGAGAGCACATGTGCAAAGCTACAACAGGTACCTAACAACCCAAGATGAGTATATGTTCTATATGAAATGCGCGTCGACATGGAATATCATCTATCAATATGAATAACAGATCTAAATGCACACGGACAGATATTCTTTCCCTACTCACACAAAACCTTTTTTTCGCAAAAAAATCATTTTTCCCGAAATTCCTCATATGATCTTCCAACAATCAAATGATCATAAAGAGGTAATACTATTACAACAATTCCATAAAGATATTAAAAAAAGGGAAGCTAAGAGATGATCAATATCCATCTTTTGATAAAATAATTCAATTTTACTATGCAACCCGGGAAATAAGCAGAAAATATTACTAAAATTGTGAAATAATAAAGGCAAGAAAAGTTATACGTCTGAACATAGCTTCAGTCACAGATCCTACCATATAATTTCACTGCGGCATTGCTTCAGTCACAGATCCTACCATATAATTTCACTGCGGCATTTACACAAACACTTAAATGCAAATGCAGAAAGTAAATCGAAAAAGAGACTTACTTGAAGGCCTCATAGAAGAGGAACCATCATTCCATCTTGCGTTCTTACAAGTAATGAGAAAATGCCTACACCAAAACAATGAATTTTTTATTTGTTTCATTCAAATAGTGTAAGAACGTCCATTCTACAAAAATGGTTTGAAAAACGCACACCCATTTCCACTTTGTTAAAGCGTATAGTAAGCATGAAAATTCAAAAATGCATAAACATACAGTAAGTTGAATCAATCCATTTCCAGTTTGCTAAAAGCAGATTGAAGCAAAATATTAATAACTTAATCAAATATTCTATCCAAGTTGAAGGTAATTAATTGAACAAACAACTATCACTCCAATTTGTCTATTTGATAGAATTTTACTCTTAATAGAACACATACAAGGGGAGAAGAGAGGCTGATTTTAGCGCCATAGCCAATCAATTACTCGATTGTTGGTAAATCGGCTCTGATATTGATTCATACTGCAGAGCAGAAGCGCACATATAAGATACAGAGTAGCATGAACACTTGAATAGATGTTAGAGAAAGTGTAGATTCACTATTTGTTGCAGAAAATTCACATTCTTATTTGAAAACAAAATTGACAGAAATGTCGAAATGTGTTCATCATGAAATGACGTTGAGATTCATAGGTATCAAATTAAATCTATTACCTCTTGTAACTGAATTCTTGGACATGGATCGTAGATGGAATTGAAATCAATTTCGACTTCGGGAATGTCAGCAATGATGGGCCAGTAGTCTCCTTTGTTCTTCAAACACCGTTTCGCAAGACGTGTACAGCATATAATGCTAAGGCTCAAAAGATTTTGAAGCTGGTCTTCCGAAGGCAATGCCACAAGCTTTGGGCAGTCGTCGATGGATAAATGTTGAAGAGAGGTGAGACTTTGGAAGCCCTTTGATAGGGTTTCCAGATTCGGCAGGTAGCTCAACGACAACTTAGTTAGAGATGGAGGAAGCACAAAGTGTTCTTCGTCAGCCTTGTTAGTGAGGGAAACCAACTTTGGACATCCACTAAATCTAAAGGAATTAAGAGAGGTGAGTGTGCGTAGGCCCCATTCCCCTAGGGGCCGTAGTTTCCGGCAATATGAGATATTAAGGTAAGACAGATTTGGGGGAATATTCTGTTTGGGAAAGAGTTCCATTAACGAAGCACAACTCACCACGTCCAAATTAGTAAGATTTGGGGGAATATCCCCTTGGGGAAAGAGTGTAATTAATGAATCACAGCCAGACACCCACAGGAATAAAAGGGCCGAAAGTAGATCCATCTGATCGGGTAGAGATTTGAGATGTCGACACCACCCTATAGATAACCCCCTTAAATTTGGTGTGGGCAAGCCTCCATCGGGAAATGACTCTAGACCATCACAATGCCATAAGGTTATAAAAGTGAGACTTGTGTAATCGTGGCCCGAGCCTAGTAAATTTGTCAAATTCAAATTCACCCACCTAGAAATAGACAGATCATTGAGCGAGGTGCTGCAATCCTGTAACTTCATCACCGTCTTTAATGATGGAGCGCCGATATTCAACTTCTCAAGAAAAGATATTTTATTAGACAACAACACCAAAGCGCCACACTGTGTTATGTTAAGACTCCTAAGACCAGGAAGAACATCAATCTCTTGAAGGGACGATAGTTGAGGACATCTTTCAACATCCACTTCCCATAGGTTGACAAGGTTTTGTGCAGTATCATTACTTGGCAATAGAGTTGCAAGGTCCTTACATCCATAAACTCTCAACCTTTCAAGTGTTGAAGGAAACTGGTCAAATGCTTTGATAATCGAAGTTAATTCACAAATGTTCGTCAATTGTATTCGAGTTAAAGATTCCAATTTCTGCATATGATGTAGCACCACCTTATTACACTCTATAGCTTTTAATTCACGAAGGGATGGTAGTAAGAGATCTTGAAGCCTGAGCAATTTTGAACAATATTTTATCTTCAATTTGTGTAGCCGAGGAAGTTCGATAACACCTTCTATTCCATGCCATTCCTCCCAGTTAGGCATGTCCTCAAAAGTCAGACTAGTGAGTGATGGAAAAGGTAATTCTCCATGGCCTCTATTTCCATAAAATTCAGTTCCAATCACTTTTACTTGATCAATGCCTCGAATCCTCAAGTCTCTTAGAGAAGGTAGTTGCCCTAATGGTGGCAAACTCGTGCAATTTTTACAAAATTCAAAGCTTATCTTTGCTAACTTAGCGAATTCTGAATCTCCAATCCACTTAGAGAAATTCTCACCCCCATAATACATGATTTCAAGTGTTGATAAGTTTTTATGGGGCTTTAATGCATTAAGCACGTCCAATTCTAAAATCTTATTCCGAGAACCATCAAAGTCTTTGCTCCATGCCAACCTTATTCCGTTGAGGCTTGTCTTATCCATTAGCCTTGCATCCGTTGCTTCTTGAACATACACAACATTTTGCAATTCCTCAATAGAAATATTACCTTGTAGAAATGATAGATTTCCCAACTCCTTTAACCTCATTCCATCATTTTTAGTCGCAGTCATCTTAGTTAATGTTCGCAACCTTGTTAGTTGAGCAATTCCCCGAGGCATCTCATGTAATTCACCAGTATCAGAAATGTCCAGATGCCTAAGATTAATAAGATTTTCCATGCTTGTGGGTAATTTGGTAAGTCTCTTACAACCACTTAGAATCAACACTTGTAAGTTGATAAGAGTGCACACAGATTCAGGCAACCAGGTCAGCGGAGTTTCAGCTAGGCCTAAGTATCGTAAATGTCTTAAATCACCAATAGAATCTGGCAACTCGTATATCTCATAACCATTCAAGGATAGAAATCTTAAGCAGCATGAATTTGCGAATAGTTGAAGCAAAATTCTTTGGGATAAGTGAAAACGATGCACCTCAACCGGTAGTGGCAAAAATGTTCTCAATTTTGGAACTTTGTCGAGAAAGTTAAATCTAGGGTAAGTTTCATACTCATTGCGCTTGAATGACAAGTAACGGACATTTACAGAAACCTTACCAGGAAGATTTTCCTGCAGTGCACCATCCATCCTCAAACATTTATCGCCAGCAACAGACATAGCTAGATCGTTAAGGAGGTCGTGCATCACAAAGCATGAAGCATTGTCACTTGATTGTTGGAAGAATGATCTAGCCAGTAGTTCATCAAAATATTGACTACCTACATCTTCAATTGACTTATTTTTCTTTGATTCCTGCAGAAGACCTTCAGCCATCCAAAAGTGCACTAGTTGGAACTTGTCAAATTCACAGTCTTTGGGAAATAGAGCACAGTAAGCAAAGCATCTTTTCAATTCAGGAGGAAGATGGCGATAACTCAGTTTGAGAGCAGGAAGAATTTCACTCTTTTCTTCGTCCATCCAGATCTCACTTTTCAACACCTCTTCCCATCCTTCAGGATCATCTCCCACGCGAAGAAGCCCCCCAAGGGCCTTTACTGCCAGGGGCAACATCTTACATCTTCTTACCATAGACTTACCAATCTCTATTAAATCTGGATGACTGTCAAAAGTTTTAGCTCCAAATGCATGTTGAGCTAGCAATGATAAAGCATCGCCCTCTGATAACAGATCCAGATTGTATGCTGGAATTTCAGACATGATTTTGGCCACCCTTTCTTGTCGAGTGGTAATGATGATTGTGCTTCCAGGTTTTCCAGCAAGAAAAGGACTGCATAGGCTGTCCCATTTTCCATAATCATCATTCCAAATATCATCCAAAACTATCATAAATTTCTTGTTTGAAAGGCTTTCCTTTAGTTTGACCTGAAGCGTGTCAAAATTTTCATAATCACACTTTCCACCAGAAGAAACTGACTCAAGAATTTTTTTCGTTACTTTTTCAACATCAAATTCATCTGAAACGCAAACCCATCCCTTAAGATCAAACTTGCCCTTCAGTCTTTCATCATTAAACACAAGTTTGACAAGAGTTGTTTTGCCGACACCTCCCATGCCCACAATTGGAATCACAGATATTTGACTATCATTTGATTCAACACCAAATAAGATTTTGAGTATTTCCTCTTTGTCTTTCTCTCTTCCATAAACTTCCGATTCTACCACGAGCGAAGTTGTTGGCAATGTTTCATTAGACCTCCCTCTCACATTCTCCACTAATCTGAGAATTTTTATCTTTTTGGATAGAGTTTTCAATTGGCCACTAATCTCTTCGAGCTTGGAAGCAATCCCGCGATCAAACTTGAAATCATTGTAAGAAAGATTAGTACAACAGGTTGGGATGAGCTTTCTTACCTTGCTGGTGCTGCCTTTATTTTCATTTAATTTGCGCTGCAGAGCTTCGGTATTCAACTCATCCACTAAATCTTCAAGATCATAAGCCAAATCTTCCAGATCCTTCAGCCACTCTTTCACAGCTACGTTTCCTGTTTGCTTGTTTTCAGCATCAGTAAGCACGGCCTGGATCATCGACAAAGTTGTACGCCATTCTTCCAGCTGGTCATCGATTCTTATACGACGCAGAAATTTCATCAGCTCACCAGAGGCCAGCTTCTCAAGCAAAACAGTGAGAATTGCACCAACAAAAACTTCGACAATAGCCATTGTTATCTTTTGTGTGAGACAGAAAGCAAGAGATAAGAGAGATAAATGCAAGGAAGATTGACTTGAATATATGAAAGTCGTCTACTGGTGGTTGGGTTCAATTATAGAACAAGGTGGGGTCAATCAACGCGGAGAATTTTCATTGGTTGTCTATTCAATTCGATGAAGGCAACAGTGAAACTGATCCTGGCAAAAGATAACAATGGATTGTGTGGCCTGGCATTTTCCAATTAACTTGGCATTTTGGAAAATTTTCCAGAGGTCTGGCCTTTATTCAAAATCATACAACGAGAATGTTCTCGTTGCGCTATGATGCCAATTCATTCCAATATGGGCTATGATGATAAATGGGCATGTTCTGGTCCAATAGATTAGTAGTTATTTCCTGATAATATCATTAATGAACCTAACATAAATGGTAGAAATCGTTCGTTAAAAGTGCAATTTTAATTGTATATTTTATTGATTAGTCGCTAGTTACACTGAATAGTTGATCTTAATATGAGATCAACTGTAATGATTAAGGGTATAAATGAAGGTTTCTAATGTTTCCATAATTCATTTCAAATGTCTGATTTTTTATTTTTTTTGGAGAGGTTAGGATTTTCTCTTCATCTTTAACTTATGTAAGGCGATTTTTTTGGGTATTCTAAGCGAATCTTTTGAGTCTTTGTGATTTTGTGCGAGAAGAGTGGTTTGAATTATGGATTGAGGTCTTTGGTTCACAAAACTAACTTCAACAAGTTCATTTTGAGGATTTGGATTTGTGGCTTCACTGTGATACAAAATGGTATAAAATAATCTAAGCATGTTCTTTTAAATCTTGATACCTTTGGAGTTTTGGTTCGAATTGAAAAATCTACTGTCAACGGTTTGTAAATACTTCATCTTCGAAGTGTAATTTTTGTACAATTGTGTATTAGAGCATGTGTTCTTTGACATTCAATGGTCGATTGACCATGGAAAATTAATTTTCAATTGGTTTTGGTTCGATCTCTTTAGATCTTAATTTTATTTATTTTTTCAAAATCCTAGGTCTATTTTTGAAAGCTATAGTCACTTGAAGGTTTAATTGATCAAATTATTTTTTTATTTAAGCATTTCGTAAGACTCATGAATACTATCCCACTTATCTATCACTCATTTCTATCTATTTATAATTTAAATTGTTTATAAACAACTCCCAAACATTGCATAATTTTCAAACAAAATAATTTACAAAAGTCTAACTCTAATTAACATAAATAACCCGAATTATTCATTTCTCATACTGCAAAAATATATTTGCTGAAATTGCACTTCAATTCTTGAAATATGCCTGATTGAAAATAAGCCCGAACTTGCCAAAAAGTGCAATTATCAGTCTAAACACCCCCCCCCCCCCCCCCCGGGCCCAAAAAAAAAAAAAAAAAAAAAAAAAAAATTGAGCATTCGTAGGTATCAAAAAATTAAAAAAAAAAAATGAATAACATCAAAATAACTTAATAATTGCGTGCAAGTTTATGGGCCAAAATTAATTTTCCATTATTTTCCCTGACAAAGTCATAATTTGAAACTAAATAATAATTCATGTTACGAAAATTTTGGGGTATTATAAGAGCAAACTAGCATCGGAAAAGAAGACATCAAATTCACAATGCAGGATAAGACTTCAACTTCCTATGTGTCTATACTAGGCTGATGCCCCTCAGAAAATCGCATTGCTACTATCTGTTTTCAAATAACCAATGGTCAAGAAAAATTATTCACAACAAATTTGAGACTCCTAAGATTGTCACACAATTACTCGTAAAAGGTGAAACATTTACTTTGATAGACTGTGAAATAGAAAGCATCAACTATTCATTTTCATTCCACATCGTACTTCAATACCATAGAACCACTATCCTTTAATAGCAATAATTAAATTGCGCCCCTATCTCGTGTTATTCATTTTAATAATGCTACTATGACAGGGCCCATGTGGCGTTGTAACCTTTGTTGGGAAATTATTAAGGAATAAATAGGCCCGCTACTTTGAGAACGAAATTAGAATAATACACCTAACATCTAATTATGTCTTTAATCACAATATAAATTACGCTCTTAATAGGCTTAAATTCATCCAAACACAGGCGGACAATCCCTTTTGATTTTTCATCATCTAACTCTAATTTTTTTCCAGCTTTTTTTTTATGAAATGTTTTACACTACCTACCATTAGGGTTGTCAATGGATTGGATTTTGATTCGAATTTTATCTGAATCCAATGAAATTAATGGAAGATGGATTTATGAACTCAATCCGATAACTCAATCAAAATTCAAATAAGATAATCCATTAACTAAATGAAACAAGTATGGATATAGGTCAATTCGATCCGATTTATTATAATAATATAATATATTTTATATATTATCGCAAAATTTATTACACAAATTTTTCCATTTTGAAAATTGTATTATACTTTACACATAATTTTCAAATAATAGATAATATTAGATAATAGTATAATGTTGTTAATTGAAATATTTGAGTAGATTTACTTTTTTATTAATTAAAATAAGATAAAAATAATAATTAATTTAATTGATAAATTAAACGGCCAAAGGAACTAATAGTTGGAATTACTTTCATTATTCGAAACTTCTCACCTCCCATATCGGATACTCACTAAAATATCATAAAATTTATAATCTATAAATAGGTGGGCCTAAAATTGGGTAAAAAGTTATATAGGCCTTTTTCATACTAGGGCTTAGAAGTTAACTAATATTTTTTATTTTTTCCATTTCGGATCGAGTTATTGGATCGAATATCTGATAACATATCAAATCCGATATAGATTTAACAATCAAATATCCGTTGGATTATGAGATCGGATAGAATAATTATTCTTAACTAATTGAATCGAATTTGTATAGATCCGATCCATTTACGGCTCTATACCAGCCATTTGCCATCATTTTATCTCGTGCCCACATCCATAGAAGCTCAGCGCTTTCGTCATTGTGACTCCTCATCGAACTCCACCCTTGAACACGGTAGCATTGTGGAGCTACTACTTGAAGTCAAAAGAAATTTAACTATAATATCCGAGTCCAAACAGTACATTCTCAAATTCATCTAAAACACAAGCTGACCAACCAACTTCAATTTTTCAAAAGAGATTTCTAGTTCTGATAGAAATAAATCTTTCTAGTCTGATAGCTCAAAAAGCTCCATGCTTGCGGCTTTAGATGATCTTCCCGTTACATTAATTCGAGATTTTTCATGATTGGCCCTGGCGAACATAGAGGTTCTATGCTGAGAAAAATAGCTTGGCAAATATATTGCAAATATGTTCATCGTTTTCAATTGAATGATCCAGGTCAGGTCACCGGTACCCCCATATTGTTTTTAACTTGTTTTTCACTTCTTAATTCCATGTTTGTTTGACTAATTTTGCATTTTTGTTTTGTTTCAATTGTTTTCAGATTGGTAATTTTGGTTTTCTCTATATGCCGTTGCTTGTATTGTCAATTTGGTCAGCAGAGTGAAAACGGAGAAAAAATGAGAAAAGTTCCACAATGTACACTTTGGTTTGGGATGTTCTTGTTCATCAAAGTTATACTCGAAGATTTTGTTCATGGAATAGTTGGATTTTGGTCATTCGTTCAAATATGGGTGCAAGAATTATTCTAGATGTACTCTATTGAATCATAGGCATATTGTTGATTGGAAAGGCGAAAATGATGTGATAGATGCAGAACCCAAATCCAAGAAAAATAAGAGAAATACAGTTTGATTGGGGTATGCTTGGTACAGGTCCTTTGACACAAAGTAAACTCATTTCAAACTTACACAGTTCAATTAAGCCATTGTTTGTCATCCATTTTTTCTCATTCTTTTTTCTATAGTACTCATTTTCAACCACATACCCTTCATTAAAATAATATTACACGTAAATAAATAAAAAATTCTTCTTTTTTAACCACACATTTCAACATCAATCACTATTCCATAATACATTATTCCCAAATAATGGGTAACAAACACACCGTAAATTAGAAGAGGCATGTCAGTGTGTCCAAAATATACCAAATAGACTAACAGAGTCTCATACAAACACAGTTTTCAAGCTAAAATCCAAATTAAGGAGGGAAGACAACCATGCATTAGGCTTGGGAATTTTATATTATCAAGAAGCCATACAGATGAAGTGGGTAGGTTTGTTACTGTTATCTTAGAATTATTTTCTTATTGATGTGGGTTGTATATATTAATTTGATGTTATGGGGTCGTTTATTTTTTAAAACACACCTATGAAGTTGAATTGATTGTTGTTCATAGATAACTTGGCTTGTTTAAATCCATAATCTATCTACATTTGATTTTTTGATTTGTTCGACTTTTTCCCTTTCAAATCGTGATGTTTTCGACTTGTTGATTAAAATCATGCTTTCAATTGCCTCGAGTACTAGGCTGAAAAAAAAAATGGTGTATGTTTTTGAGTGCTTGTCACTTTCTTTTATTATTGTTGTTGGTTGTTTTTTTAGTTTTTTTTTGTTTTTTTTGTTTTTTTGAGTTTATATCAGTTTTTGAATTTGTGTCACTTTTTTAATTTTTTGTCACTTTTTTTTTTTTTTTAATTTGGGTCACTTTTTTAGTGTTTGTTACTTTATGAGGTAGAGATGAAGATGAATTTGAAGAGGCAAAGATAGACGGATGTAAAGGATTGACAAGCAAACAACGATGGCTTTTAAATTCTGACATTTTACATTCTTAGTTGTTAGGTTATTGGTGAAATTTCGGTCCATGTTGTCATTTTTTTGGTCACATTTTTGAGTGTCTCATTCTTTTGAATTTCTCTCACTTTTGTGAGGGTTTATCGTTTTTTTAGTGTTTCTCACTTTTTTTTTTTTTATCATTTTCTGAAGTTTATGTCACTTTTTTAATGAAAACATCACTTTTTAATAAAAGTGGCATTGTATATCTGTCACTTAACTTTTTAGTGATAAACATCACTCTTATTGTTTGTTGCTTTCTTTTCTCTATAACTTTTTTGAGTGACAAACATAGGTTTTAATTGATACTTTGTCAAATTTTAAAATTTTTGTTATTTTTTGAGTGTTTGTCACTTTTTAAATAGTGCTTGTCACTTTTTTAAAAAAAAAAAAATTCTGTCACCTTTTTAAAAATTTTGTTACTTTTTAAAATTTTCGTCACTTTTTGAGTGACAAACATATATTTTGAT